TACGGTGGACGGGGAAGGTTGGCGATGCGTCTGTGTTCCGTGTCTGGGGATCTCGAGCTTTCGTCCGCGACTTGTCTGCGGACAAGCTGTCCTCTCGTGCCGTTCCCTGCGCCTTCCTTGGCTTCCCCCCTGACGCGCCTAGTTGGGAGTTCTACCACCCCACCTCGCGCCGTGTTCTGTCCTCTCAGGACGTCACGTTTGACGAGTCGGTTCCCTACTACCGTCTCTTCCCCTACCGCACTGCCCCCCTTCCCCCCCCGCCGCTCTTCCTCGCGCCAGGTACTCCTCCGGTAGACCCCCTCCCCCCTCAGGGTCCTGCCCCCTCAGGTGTGTCTCAGGTAGACGTCGTCGAGCCTGTTGAGGTAGCCGTTGACTCAAGTGCTGCTGGGGGTGCTGAGCCTGGGGGTGCCGGGTCTGGGGGTGCTGGGTCTGGGGGTGCTGAGCCTGGGGGTGCTGGGCCTGGGGTTGCTGAGTCTGGGGGTGCTGCGACTGGAGGTCCTCCGAGTGTCCCGTTGCAGCGGGAGCCCCTCTCTCCACGGCAGCTTCGTGAGTGGTACGCTCGGCGCTGTAGCCGTGCTGCTGGAGCTGGGGGGCCTGCTGCTGGAGGCGCTGCTGGTGCTGGTGCTGCTGGAGGTGCTGGAGCTACTGGAGGTGCTGCTGGTGCTGGTGCTGCTGGAGGTGCTGCTGGTGCTGGAGCTGCTGGGGCCGCTGGTCCTGGAGGTGCTCGTACTGGTGCTGCTGAGGGAGTTGGAGCTGGAGGTGCTGGTGCTGCTGGTGCTGGTGCTGCTGGAGGTGCTGCTGGTGCTGGAGCTGCTGGAGCCGCTGGTTCTGGAGGTGCTTGTCCTGGTGCTGCTGAGGGAGTTGGAGCTAGAGGTGCTGCTGGTGCTGGAGCTGCTAGAGCCGCTGGTTCTGGAGGTGCTCGTACTGGTGCTGCTGAGGGCGTTGGAGCTGGAGCTGCTGGAGCTGCTGGTGGTACTGCGGGAGTTGTAGCTGGAGACCCTAGAGCTGAGGGTGCTGGTGCTGTCTCTGCTGGTTTAGGAGGCGCTGCGCGGCCGCGGCCGTACTACGTTCCGCTTCTTCAGCAGGTTCTTGGCCTCCCGCCTTCTACTGGTCCTACTCCTCCCCTGCTGAGTCCACCGCCTGTCCAGTCGCAGTCACAGTTACAGCCAGCCTCTCCACTGCCTAGTCCTTCTCCTTACTCTGGGCCGACTAGAGGTCTTACGGAGCGTCGTGAGCCTGAGTCTCGTCCTGCGTCGCCTGAGTCTCGTCCAGAGTCGCCTGTCCGCGCTGTCCGCACTGGTCGTCGTGTTCCGCGTGAGCGTCTTCCTCCTGTCCCTGGCACTCACTATATGGTTCTGCGTCCTTCCACTGCTCCACAGCGTGTCCCTCTGCCGTCTCCTCCTGCGTCCTCTCTTCCTGACGTTGCTGACCCGCCGTCAGACCTTGCTCGTGCTGCCAGTCCTACTGTCACGCGTCTTCTCGCTACTGTTGTCACTGACCCTTCCTTTGAGTCGACTGCTGCGTCTGCTCTAGTTGCTGAGCTTGTTGACTTTGCTGCTGCCTGTCGTCTAGACTACGCCGCTAGCCTTGTTGCTGAGTCTGAGTCTGTCTGTCCTCCGTCCGTCGGGGGTGAGTGTGCTCTTGGCACGGACGTCCTTGAGGACAGACAGGAGGAGTTTGAGTGCTTTGCCGCTGCTTTACCTCATCTCGTGTCCATGCTGATTGCCCCTGAGGGAGACCCGGATGCACCAGACATCCCGATCCCGCACTCTTACGCAGAGGCGATAGAGGGTCCCTACTCCTCTCAGTGGCAGACAGCCATGGACGCAGAGATGGCTTCCTGGAAGTCCACAGGCACCTACGTCGACGAGGTTCCCCCACCTGGGGCGAACATCGTCAGTGGCATGTGGATTTTCAGGGTGAAGCGGCCGACGGGTTCTCCGCCTGTCTTCAAGGCGCGTTACGTTGCACGAGGCTTCAGTCAGCGTGAGGGAGTTGACTTCTTCCAGACCTTCTCCCCTACCCCGAAGATGACCACTCTTCGGGTTCTGCTGCACGTCGCCGCTCAGCGTGACTACGAGCTCCACTCTCTTGACTTCAGCACTGCTTTCCTACAGGGCACCCTGCACGAGGAGATCTGGCTGCGCCGCCCACCTGGCTTCACTGGGTCGTTTCCTCCTGGTACCCAGTGGGGCCTCCGGCGGCCAGTCTACGGTCTCCGCCAGGCACCCCGTGAGTGGCACGACACACTGAGGACGACTCTTGCTGCTCTTGGGTTTGCTCCTTCTACTGCTGACCCGTCGCTGTTTCTACGCACCGACACCACTCTGCCGCCGTTCTACGTTCTCGTGTACGTAGACGACTTGGTCTTTGCTACTGCTGACACTGAGGCACTCGCCCACGTGAAGTCGGAGCTGCAGAAGAGACACACGTGCACAGACCTGGGTGAGCTGACAAGCTATTTTGGCTTGCGGATCACCCGGGACAGAGCACAGCGCACCATTACCTTGACTCAGTCACACATGGTGCAGCAGGTCCTTCAGCGCTTCCGCTTCACGTACTCCTCGCCACAGTCCACTCCTCTGCCTACGCGCCAATCGCTCTCAGCTCTGCCTTCGGATGAGTTCGTAGAGCCGAGTGGCCCGTATCCAGAGCTTGTGGGCTGCCTCATGTAGCTGATGACCTGCACTCGACCTGACCTTGCATACCCTGTTAGCATCCTAGCACGCTATGTCGCTCCTGGCCGACACAGGAAGGAGCACATGGATGCCGCTAAGAGGGTGTTGCGCTACTTGTGCAGTACGTCGGGCATGGTGCTCGTGCTTGGAGGACGGACTCGAGTTGTCCTCACTGGTCACGCAGACGCTTCTTGGGCTGACGACTTGGCTACGCAACGGTCGTCACAGGGTTACACCTTCAGTCTTGGCTCCGGCTCTGTTTCGTGGCGGTCTACCCGCTTGTCTTCTGTTCTCGGCTCCAGCTGTGAGGCCGAGATCTACGCAGGGGCCATGGCTGCACAGGAGTTACGCTGGATCACCTACCTGCTGACCGACCTGGGAGAGCCGCCTCGTTCTCTTCTGTACGTAGATAACAAGGCCATGCTGGCCTTGTGTCAGGAGCACAGACTGGAGCACAGAACGAAGCACATTGCTCTTCGCTACTTCCTTGCACGTGAGCTGCAGCAGCGTGGTCAGCTGCGTCTTGCTTACGTGGCCTCTCAGGCCAACACTGCTGATATCTTTACCAAGGCACTTCAGCCTTGTGATCATCAGCGTTTCTGTACTGTTCTAGGCCTTGTGCCTACTGTGCCTCACTTGCTTACCTCTTGACTCTGCTTGTACTGTGATCTCTATACATATACCTGCATGCTTACACTTGCTAGGTTGTGATTACTGTACCTCTTGTTATATATAAAACTGCATGTGAACTGGTCTTGTGACCGCTTGCTTGTGCTCGGAATTTGTGTGGTATCCTTGAGATCCACCCTGAGCTTGCTTTGCTTTTCTTGACTGGTCTTGTGTCCTCTTGTTCTCCCCCACTTTGCCTATGGGGTGTGTCAAACTTATGTTATAGTCTGTTTGGGCTGTACTGGGTTAGACAATAGGGGGTACAACATTTCTAGGTTTCCCTTCTTGTACCCAACTCATTTCTAGTCAAATCATTTCCTCGCTAGGATTCTCACACTGGTGGACATTCTCGCACATGGAGGCAACAAAATTCCCGCGACGCGACGCACACAAGGTTGTCAGAAACTTGCTACGTCGAGGCGGGAAAACGACAGCATCGTTTATTGAGGGCCATGATCACATATCAGCGAACAGCGAGTGAGGATCTCGCACCGCATCTCTGCTACGTCAGCCCAACGCGACAAGCCTGATAGTAATCCAATGCTGACTCTTCTAGATGTTGAAATCCCCTTCTCATCCTGGTATGTCAATGCATATTTTCGCCTCCTTCAGCCTCCCGTGTTCTCTATTTCCCTCTCCGCGACATCTAACACCGCGGCATCAAACACAACGACAGCTAACACACACTCTAGACAACCGCCTGGTACGTGAATGGCGTTTCCCGGGTCGACTGTGCGGCTGCTCGTTGTTCTGCATTTCGTTCTCGTGTTTGCCTCGCTGGCCACATCCCAGCGCATCAAGGTAAAGAATCACGAAGCTTTGAACCGCCCGACTATTCCCGTAAGCACCGAACCAGGAAACTGCTAAACATACTCTGCAATTTCAGGTCTGAACATCACCGACCTCCTTTCCCTCGGGTCTGCGAAACGTACTCTGCATCCCTCCCCCTTTCTCCACCCTTCTTCCCTTCCTCAATCCTTCCCTTCTTCCTTCTTCCCCCTTTCCGCCCTCTATCTCCCTCATCCCGCACACTCTCACCCACATGTTGTCGTTGAACGCTTCCTTGTTGTTAACTTGCTTCGTGTTGTTCCGTGTTGTTCCGCGGCTCGTGTTGTTCTCCTTCATGCCCACATTCACCTGCCGCCGCCGATGGCAGGAGCGTCAGTTGCGACAACGGACTCGCATGCCGCGCTATCCCTTTTTTTTTCGAATTCTCAGCTGAATCTGTTTCTTGTCTCTGTTCTCGAAAAACCGACTCGCATGCCGCGCTCTTTGGACTTCAATTTCTCCGAAGCGCACGGGTTATGCGGGACTTGGGCTAGTGACTACGCCGCATTGCACAGCCGAATACGCGCACGCGCCTTAAAAGCGTACCTGACACAGCAACACGCGGAGAAATCAAGGGGGAACGAAGAGCTAAAGTCTTTTGAACCATCTCTTCTGAAGCCGTATGGGATAGAGCAGCAGCCTGAGCTGATGACAGATGGACGGCTGCATCCGCCTGTTCGCTTCCTCACATTCGAGTGGTTGGACGGCTGTGGCGGCTTCGCGGACGTTCTCGCGGGGCTGGTAACCGCATTAGTCGTGGCTATACTCGACAATCGCGCGCTTATAGTACGAAACCACTGCCTTCCCAAAGCTTTCGAACCCAGCATGATCAACTGGGAGCCCGGCCCGTTCTTGCCGTTGGAACCTGCGCGGAACCTCACGTTGGTGGACTATGGCTGGGGAAGGACGGTCCCCGAGCGCGCGCGCGACGGGGAGGTGGTGCTGGTGTGGCTGCGGGATAAGTTCGTGCGGATCGAGCCGTTTTTTAAGGAGCTGGAAGGCGCGGTGAACGTTCGCATGACGAGCAACCGCGGCGTGCTGACGTGGCTGCAGACGAGGGCGAAAGGGGAGTGGGCGGAGAGGTTTAAGGCGATGGGGATGCGGCTGCCATACGCGCTCGGATGCTCGCTGCGGTTCCTCATGCGGTAAGGAAGGGGGAAGTAGAGGAAGGGGGAAGGAAAGGAAGCGAGAGGTTTTGAGTCGACTCGAAAACAGACTCATCACGTTCGGATGCTCTCTGCGGTTCCTCATGCGGTAAGAGGGAGGAAGGAGAAGAAGGGGGGAGCGAGGGAGGAGAGTGGTGTGTGAAAGGAATTATTGGAGTCCGTTCCCTTCTCGGACAGTTGTTTTTTGAGTCGACTAAAAAAACGACTCATCACACACATTCCCTTCTCAGACAGTTGTTCCACTTTCCATCCCCTCCTCTCCTACCTGTCTACCGTCTCTTTTTTGCATTCTGTTCTCACTCTTCCCCTCGCCGCGTTCACCCTTCACCCTCTCCCTCTTCCCCCTCCATCCTCCCCTCTCCCCGCTCTCTCTCCTCCCTGCAAACCCTCCTCCAGTCCCAAGCCAGAGGTGCAAGAGCTGTACAGCAGCATAGAGAGGCGCCTGCGGAGGAGGTCGTGGGCAGGGAAGGCAGGGGCGACTTGTGAGTCGACTCAAAATTCCCCTCCATCCTCCCCTCTCCCCGCTCTCTCTCTCCTCCCTGCAATCCCTCCTCCAGTCCCAAGCGAGAGGTGCAAGCGCTGTTCCACAGCATAGAGCGGCGCCTGCGGAGGAGGTCGTGGGCAGGGAAGGCAGGCGCGGGGAGGCCGCGGGTGGCAACAGTGGGGATCCACATCTGCGTGCGCGACCGGGTGGTGTGGGCGGGCGACAGGGGGGCGCCCAAGGAGCTCAGTGCGCAGCAGGTGGACGTGCTCATTGCTGGCGCCCGGAAGTGAATTCTCTGCGCGCAGGTGAGTGAAGAGGAGGGGGAATGGGGAGGTTGGGAGTGGGAACTTGCTGGTGGAAGCAGGTGGACGTGCTCATTGCTGGCGCCAGGAAGTGGATTCTGTGCGTGCAAGTGAGTGAAGAGGAGGGGGAATGGGGAGGTTGGGAGTCGGAACCTCCCCATTTTGGGAGGTTGGGTGCGCGCAAGTCGGAACCTTGGGCAGGGAAGGGTTTCGGGTATCTCACCACGTTATTCCCTGGACCTCTCATTTTCCAACCCCAAGCGTGCGCAAGCGCATAGGATTCCGTCCTCCTGGCTACCCTCGCCATCCCTCATTTCTCCCCGCGTCCACTTAACAACCTTCCTAGACACTTGCTGCTCGCCCTGTTTCCCCGTGCCTCCAGCGTATGGAATCGTACTGGTTTCCGTCCTCCGTTGCGGTGCGATGGATGCTCATCACCAACTCAGCTCAGCTCAAGGCTGCCCTCAAATCTAGATTTCCCTACAAAGTGTGTGAGAGGGGGGGTGTGTGTGTGTGAGTGTGTGGGTGTATCTGTGTGTGTGTGTGTATCACTCGGTGGGAAGGAAGGTGCAGTGGAGGGAGGAGAGAGGGACCAGGAGGAAAAGGGAGGTGGGAGAGCCAGCACCCGGCGGCCATTTCCAAGGCTCTCGTTTGAAAATGACCCTCGTGGTTTTTGATGTACCACGCTGCCCTTGGCGGCCATTTCCAGGGCTCTCTTCTGGGAACGACCCTCGTGGTTTTTTATGTACCACGCTGCCCTGAAAACCTGTCTTCTTCTTTCGCGCCTCCTTTCTTCCTCGCTCTCTTCTTCCGCTGACCCTCCCAGGTTATCACTACCGACTTCATACCTCGGCATGCGAATAGTCTGAGCTCCAGCGTTGCCGGCAGCATTGGCAATGGCTCTTCCACTCCAAGCCCAGGGGAGCTTGCCGGGCAAGTGGAGGGAGAGAAGGGAGATACAAAACGCGAGAAGGAGCGTTTGTTCCAAGAGCTGGTAACAGAGTGGCTGCAGTTGGCCGCATGCGATGCGTACGTTATTTCCGTGTATGGTTACTCGAGCACAGCTGTGTATTATGCTAATAGACCCATGGCGGCTTTTGAGTCGGAAAATTGTGACCCTGAGATGCCGTTGCGCGCGAGGTTTCATCTTGAAGGTAAAGCTCGAGGTAGGATTGTTGAAATTAAGAGGTCGCTAGAGTAGCGGAAATACTCTAGGAATTAACGACGTCCCTACGGCGGGGCAATGGTCACTCAGAGGTAGCTCTCGTGGCTTGTAACTTGGTGGCAGAGCGGCGGCCGAGAGTAGGCCGGACACAAGGTATAGAATTGTGTAATAATAGCAAGGCATTACATTCTGTTATATAGCAAACGCATAGGGCAAACGGTTACCAAGGCGCAACTGTATAACAGTTGCGCTGCGTCGCTTGGGTTGCCTTGTTACAGTCGCGCTGGCGAGACCTTTCAGCTTCGGCAAGGGCGCGGTATCCTGCCGTGCCTCGCAGGTCAGTTACACGTGCAGTACACGCTGCCCACTGTAGATCGCGACTCTCTAGCTGCCACGAGGGTCGCAACCACTGTACGCGGTTGCGCCCTTGTAGCTCGATAGTCCAGTCAACACCCTCGCTATGGCGAGGCTCGTTAGCACACTTCGAACAGTGTACTTCATAATAAAACGTACAAACATATTCGCAACACTCCCCTCCACTGTTAGAAGTGTAGAAACGAGGAGAGATGAAGTTCTGCCATGTTGAAATTCTGAAGTCCTTGCCAAGGACTTCACCGGTACGCCTTGAAATGCGTCTTGCCGAGTCGCCCATAATGATGCGACGGCGCGTTGAAGATTTTCTCCACGTAATGCTCAGTGGGAAGTGGCAGGTCGAACCTGCTCCAGGAGATGCTCCTGGTGATGATGTAGGTGGTGAGCCAAACTGAATAAATCTGCTCACACATGTTCCAAGGGTTTGAACGCTTGCTCTGATACCATGTTGAAATTAAGAGGTCGCTAGAGTAGCGGAAATACTCTAGGAATTAACGACGTCCCTACGGCGGGGCAATGGTCACTCAGAGGTAGCTCTCGTGGCTTGTAACTTGGTGCCAGAGCGGCGGCCGAGAGTAGGCCGGACACAAGGTAGAGAATTGTGTAATAATAGCAATGCATTACATTCTGTTATATAGCAAACGCATAGGGCAAACGGTTACCAAGGCGCAACTGTATAACAGTTGCGCTGCGTCGCTTGGGTTGCCTTGTTACAGTCGCGCTGGCGAGACCTTTCAGCTTCGGCAAGGGCGCGGTATCCTGCCGCGCCCCGCAGGTCAGTACACGCTGCCCACTGTAGATCGCGACTCTTCAGCTGCCACGAGGGTCGCAACCACTGTACGCGGTTGCGCCGCTGTAGCTCGATAGTCCAGTCAACACCCTCGCTATGGCGAGGCTCGTTAGCACACTTCGAACAGTGTACTTCATAATAAAACGTACAAACATATTCGCAACAAGGATTTAGAAGCTGTCATCTTGCCGTGATTCGTTTTTTAAGGTGTGTTTGTTGTCATTTCTCCTTCATTTAGTATACTTTAGCTTGAAAAACAGTTTTGTCATACCTGTAATCCAGGCCCTCAGATTCTTTTTGAGGCATGTTGATCATTCAGTTCAGTGCCCCCCAAAGGTCAAATGCTGATTTCCAGTTCATCATATCAGAAGAAACACCGTTTTACACAGGTAATAACTTCATACTACATGTCCTAAGTAGCTCGCAGAGAGTTTTGCATCATTCTGTCACCCCCAGCACATACAACCCCTCAATATAGGTCCTCTATTACCAGTATTTCGGTTACCCGTATGGGGCCCTCATCTTTACGCTTATAGCCCGTATGCAAAATAGTGACCCCCCCCTTCTAGTTGGGTCCTCTTGAAAGTCTCAAACTTAATTTGTAATGTTTTTGACGGTTGGAAGTGTTGTGGTTTTTCTTTTGGATCCCTCACTGAATGAGTGTGATCAATGTTGAGCGAGCACATACGAAACTGTCGGAGTTGCACACAAGAATGTTGCAAGTTTGCGACATCCAACTCTCATTCTTCCAAACAGTGAGCAGAGTCCAATTCATCCGCCTTACACATGGGAAAAAACACAAGAGAAAAAACGGGAGGGAAAAAACAGAGTTTCAAAGATGATGGGACGGGATGGCGAAGAGCGAAGAGAGGGCATTTCCGAGCGCGAGGGTGACGATGCGGGAGATGGGAGGGGAGAGATGTAAAGGCGACGGGAGGGAGTGATGGGATAGGAGAGAGGAAGGGCGACAATGGGGAGTTTCGGGGCGTGTGCGAGGGCGACGAGGGGAGCGACGGGATGGGAGAGAGGAAGGGCGACGGGAGGGAGTTTCGGGGCGTTGGCGAGGGCGACGAGGGGAGGGACTGGATGGGAGAGAGGAAGGGCGACGGGAGGGAGTTTTGGGGCGTTGGCGAGGGCGACGAGGGGAGCGACGGGATGGGAGAGAGGAAGGGTGACGGGAGGGAGTTTCGGGGCGTTGGCGAGGGCGACGAGGGGAGGGACGGGATGGGAGAGAGGAAGGGCGACGGGAGGGAGTTTCGGGGCGTTGGCGAGGGCGACGAGGGGAGCGACGGGATGGGAGAGAGGAAGGGCGACGGGAGGGAGTTTCGGGGCGTGTGCGAGGGCGACGAGGGGAGCGACGGGATGGGAGAGAGGAAGGGCGACGGGAGGGAGTTTTGGGGCGTTGGCGTGGGCGACGAGGGGAGGGACGGGATGGGCGACGGGATGGGCGACGGTATGGGCGACGGGATGGGCGATGGGATGGGCGATGGGATGGGCGATGGGAAGGCAACGGGAGAGCCACGGAAGGGCGACGACGATCGCGACGGAACGGGAGGACGACGGGACGGCAGAATGGGCGGGTGACTGGACGGGGGAACAGGAGGGCTATGGGGCAGGAGAAGTGATCACGTGGGTAAGGGAGGCGAGAGGAGATCGCGGTGGCGACAGGACGGAAAAACGCGGGCGCATAGGGACGGACTGAAAAGCTTACACTCGTAGATCTCGGATACAACACGACGGACATTCTGATTAATACATGTCTAGATAACGAGGGCCTAAGTCCAGACATAGCCTATGCCTAGCCTAGCTACTTATAACTTCCGACGCAAAATTGGTAGTAGTTCACCCCATCCCAACTTGAAACATAAGCTGGGCCCAAATCGCTTGGACAGACTGAAACGATCGCCTATGCAATTGTCGTGCGGGCTTAGCAATGAGAAATGCGACGCCACACTCGAGGAGAATGTTTCAATTTTGGCGGGAACCAATCAAAGGTGTTCGATTTGCACGTCCGCAACGTTTGAAACGGTACAAACTTGTCAGTCCGGTCCAAATTTTGTTTCGACCGGCAAACTCGTCCCTGCGCTCTTTCAAGTTGGGTTTGGGTTCACTATTTTGCATTTCGGTTTTATGTAGTCCATGGTAAGCTTTCCAATGGCAAAGTCCTCTCCTAGAACATTTTCATGAATCAAAGAAGAAACTCTCAGGACAGAATCCCGGTCAGATGCCACTAACTCCAATCCAAGACATGACTGTCGCACAGATTCAAGCCACACGACCCATACTGATGATGAGGATTGATGCTGACACTTGTATCTACAACGCTTCCCTCACAGCCCAACGCTGTGGAATGCCTGCAGAGGTGACTTTTGAGTCGACTCAAAAGTCACATTGATGCTGCCACTTGTATCTACAACGCTTCCCTCACAGCCCAACACTGTGAAATGCCTGCAGAGAGGGAAAACACAAGGCAGAATGAGACGGTCCGTCCTGCAGGACTTGAGGCGAACTTCAGGTGCGGGGAGGGAAACAGATTGCCAATGGCATGAATCACATGCACATGGCACCACTGATGTTGCCAGGACACCGCTGCGATTATCGAAACAGGAAATACCGGTAATGCATTCGGGAGTGGTAAGATTGGGAATGGGTTCATACAAAAGGGATACGGTACTGGCAAAAATGTTACATAAAGCCCTTACTGGGAAGAGTGCCAAATCGGATGCTCACCTCCCACAGAGCTCGGATTTCCCCCTTAACCCTCGTGGTAACTTCCTGGAAGCTCTCCAGCCGAGCGCTCAACCCAACCACCCTCTCCCGATCCTGCAGTGCGCTGGCTGCACTGGCACGTGCCTCCATCCTCCCCTCATCCAGCCGATGGTTGATCTTACTCAACCTCCCTACCACCTCTGCCTTTCCTGCGTCCACCTCCTCCCTCAACTCCCTCATCCTCCCTGCCTCCTCCGCCCTCCCCTCTTCCACCTCACGCCTCCACTCATCCAACTTGCCAAAAATCCTCCTCTCCCTCTGCGCCACCAGCACAGCCATTTCTGCCTTCATCTCAGCCCTCAGCTCGTCCAGGCATTTCCTTACATCACTAGTGTCGCACTTCAGACCTTCCACCTCCTTCCTCAGACTATAGATGGCTTTTTTTATTTCCTCCTCTACTTTCGCCCTTCCTGCCACCTCAATCCTAAGCTTCTCCACGTCACCCTTCATCCTCTCCACCTCATTCCGGACACCAGCCACGTCAGCCTTGACATCATCCAAATGCCATCCCATTCCAGCCCTCCCTTCAGAATTCCCCTTCGGAGTCCCATCTTCCTCGTCTGGCTCACTCACCGCACCAAACATCTCCAAATCCTCAACAGCAACGTCACTTGTTCTTTCCATTCTGTCACTGTCAGAATCGCCCCCATGTTCCCTTATGTAATCCCTCATAACCCTTCCCAACAACTGACTCCCCGTTTCCAAACCCACCTCATCCTGAGCCCCACATCTCTCACCCACTGTGCACACATCACCATCCCGAGCCTCACTACTCTCACCTATTGGACATGCATTATTGTTCCGAGCCTCACACTCCTCACTTGCTGGACACACATCAGCCGCTACATCGACCACCTCCTCCCTCTCCTCCCTTTCCCCCATTCCCTTCCGCTTCCCCATCTCTTCCATCTCTCGACTATACTCCTCCACCACCTCTTCCAGAAAAGCCCTCCCAGACTCAGATAACTCATCCCCATGCCTCCCTTCCTCCCCATGCCTCCCTTCTTCCCTATGCCTCCCTTCCTCCCTATGCCTCTCTTCCTCCCACGCCTCTGCCTGTACCCGCCTCTCCCCCATGCATGATGGAACCAACTCATCTAACCCACCCTTGACCTCTCCGCCCTCGTTTAACTCTCTCTGCTCCTGCTTTACCTGACTACCAGCCTCAACGTCCCGCTTTACTGCCTGCAGCAGTAGCATCAGGCCGTTCATCTTGGAGTTCATCTCAGCCGTCAGATCGTCAATCTGACCTGACAACCGACGAAAGTCTGTCTTCTCTGGTGTTGAGTCGTTTGCGACAGGTTCAGCAGCAAACAATCGCCTGCCAGGGAGGAAATCACCAGATATCAAGCTTCGAGAACCTAAATAAATATGACAACAATGGTGAAGGCAGAAGCATGAAGCAACGAAATCCAACAATAGACTCTGAAAAAAAATGGCAGGGAACTAAGTGTTTGGCAATAGTGATTAACGTGTGCCAGAAAATAATACTTATTGTCAATAATGATCCACAAGTGACGGAAGGAAATGCGATCCGTACCTGCCAGCTTGGCAAACGGAGGTGACTTGACTGGCCTGCAACACGGCATAAGCTGAAATTAAGATAAAAAAGGAAGATAGAATACGCACGCCGATAATACTTGAAAGTAAAGGGCAACCTTCTTCAGCTTGAGGAGGGTTGACCTGGCTGTCAATGAATGCTGATGCAGGGTGTGCATGATGTGTACCTGTAACACTCCCAACGACCAGAGGATAAGGATAAGAGCCAAGGTGCTCCATGCAAGATACATGTGATGTGGAAAGCTGGCAGGTCGTCAGCAAGAAACGGACGAGAGTGGAGCAGTGCAAAGGAGGGACGAGGGACCAGAGGGAGTCGATCATCTAGGCTTACCATGCAAACAAAGGCGTGATTCTTCAGCTGGAGAAGTGCAGTTCTGGTTGCCAGTAGCTGCTGCTGCAGGCAGTGCATGATGCGCGCCTGGGACAAGCCCATCGACCAGAGGATAAGAACGACAGTGCTGCACGCGAGATACACGTGGATGAGCTGAACGGGTTATTGGGGGGAGGGGGGTAGCGAAGGAGGTGAAGAGTGGAGGAAAAGGGAGAGGTGAGGAATAAATGGATAGACGGAAGAGGGACCAGAGGACCAGAGGGGGTAAGAGCGAAGGGAAGAGGGTGGGATTGCGGAGGGGACAACAGGGGAGGTGGATGGATGAGCTAGAAAGGAAGGTGTGGAAATTAGGGAAACAAAACAAAATACAAACACAGCTCCAGTGAGCTCAAGAGATATTCGTGCAGTAGGACACTGAATTATGACGTTTGATGCCTAAATTCACATAAATTACACTCCGTGCATGGACCCTCACCACGATGTAAGTGTTGACGGCTGACGGCAGGAGCTCTCTAAGAGCCGCAGGCAGAAGCGTGAGATACGATGAGATGCTGGGCCACAGATTGGACCGCTCAGCTGCCTTCCCCTTGTCTGTAACAGCTGACTCATGCCCTAAGCCTGTCGAAGTCTGGATGAAGAGTCATTAACAAGAGAAGAAACCGAAAAAAGCAGAGCACAGAGATTGCAGATACTATTTTCAAGACCGTCTCAGGATCAAGGCGCCTACAATGAGTGTGCACACAGAGAGTCCGGAACGAGGGACAGATGAGCCAACGAACCCCAAACCCCAAACAGCACCTGCCGTGTAACCTTGGCTTCTTCCGCCTTCGCTTGGTTGCTCCAAGATCGTCGATACCTCTGAAAGAAAGAAAAACAACAAAACAAACGGAGGAACCCCTCCGTCCTCGTTCGTTCGTATCAACGCCACATGCTTGTTGGAAGGCAGGAACCGATGGAAATTGACAGGCTGGCAGGCAGTTGATAGGCAATAAGCAGGAAGCCGTTCAACTAATATTCAATATAATGGGACCTGGTTGTTAGCTACACGCACTTGGTAATCACTGTAGTCGTCGATGTACCGACCATACGCGGAAACCGCCGTGGCAGCTGCAAGCAGCACAAACGCCGTCACCAGCAGCCTTGCCAGCAGCGCCACCCTCCCCAGCCTCGCCACCCTCGCCACCCTCGCCGCCATCGCCACGACTCAGACGAGAAGGATACGAAGAAGATATGCAGCACCTCGGCAGAATTTCAGTGAACGCAGAGAAACAGTGCAAAACTGAAAGTCGACAAAAAAGGTTTTCTCAGGCCTTTCTTGTTGTGCTCTGGAGTTGTAAACGCCTGGCTGCGGTTTTCCAGCCTACGTATTAGCGAGCAGAGTGGCGAGTCTGAATTTACACCTCCGGAAACATGCTGCTGCTATCGCGCAAGGCGCTCTGTGTGCACCAAGCGCACGCATGTGCGCGCGCCAAGGCCTGAACTGACGCAGCGATTCAGTGGAAGGGCGGAATCCGATCGCCAGCGGCGGCTTCTGATGGAGCCCACGGCGCGCTCTTCCCCCCTCTCTCTCTCCCTCATCCTTTTTTCCCCACACCGCCTTCGCTCGCTTTCCTTTCCTTCCCCCTCGCGCTAACCGTCACTCTCCATCCCGGATCCGCCGTACCAAACTGCGCGCGACCTACTTTTACGAGCATGCATGCGCGGGGGTGTGGCTGGCGGAAGAAGCAGCGCAGAGGCATGGTTGCGGGGAAGGCTGCGGGGAAAGCTGTGGCAGGGGGCGGCGTGAGAGCAGAACGGCTTGCATGCATGCATGCAGGGACGCGCAAGAGACGGAGGAATCGAGAGAAAACGTGGCAGGGCGAGGTGGAATGTCGGGGAGAGTGAACAAGGCGGGGTGTGGTTCCGCTTGGGATGCTCCACGACTCGATTGAAGTAAACTGATTGAAGAGAACAGAAAAACTTGAGATCCTACTGGTCAACCACTTACCATATTGGTACCTCGAGTTTCAGGAGCCTTTAGCAGGTAACTTTCTTCAGGCTCGTACAATTCTTACGGTAAAACAGTCCACGGATACCCACATTCCACAATGCTAGAATTTCAACCGCAATCCCTGTGGTCATTTTACAGAAGCTTCCTAACAGAATGCCAAGTCCATCACCCTTCTCCCAGTCATCAAGCGCGCAGGCTGCTCCGCTGCTTGCCTTCTCCCTCCCTCCCTTCATCCAGCCTCACTCAACCGATGTTGCAACTCCCCGAACCTCCTCATCATCTCAGTTGGACTTGTAGAATTTCTGAAAATGAATCATCCAGCCGTTGCTGGTGCTGGGCTGGATTGAGTTTTCTCAACAGCTGGAACTCACTCAACCTGCCTGCCACCACCAGTTTCCACCCTAAACCTCACGCCTCCACTCATTCTCCTCCCCTTCCAACCCTCCGTTTCCTCACCCTACTCCCAGCACTCAATTTCCTCACCATACACCCGACACTCCTCCCCTTCCTCCTCCTCCTCCCAGTTCAGCCCCCATCCCTCCTTCCCTCCCTCCCACCCGTCCCATCGTCGCCCTCCTCCCAGCCCTGCCCTTATTCCCCCCCTCATCCCTGTCGCCCATCCCTCCCCATCCCATCCCTCCTCTCCCCATCCCTCCTCCCCCCATCCCTCCTCCCCCCATCCCTCCTCCTCCAATCCCTCCTCCCATCCCTCCATCCCCCATCCCTCCTCCCCCCATCCCTCCTCCCCCCAACCCTCCTCGCCCCATCCCTCCCCATCCCATCCCTCGTTCCCCCAACCCTCCTCCCCCCATCCCTCCTCCTCCCATCCCTCCACCCCCCATCCCTCCTCCTCCCATCCCTCCACCCCCCATCCCTCCTCCTCCCATCCCTCCACCCCCCATCCCTCATTTCCCCATCCCTCCTCTCCCTCCTCCCTCCATCCCTCCTCCTCCCATCCCTCATTCCCCCATCCCTCCTCCTCCCATACCTCATCCATCCATCCTTCCTCCTCCCATACCTCCTCCTCCCATCCCTCCTCCCCCCATCCCTCCTCCTCCCTTCCCTCCTCCTCCCATCCCTCATACCCCCATCCCTCCTCCCCCCGTCCCTCATCCCCCCATCCCTCCTCCCCCCATCCCTCATCCCCCCATCCCTCGTCCCCCCAACCCTCCTCCTCCCAACCCTCCTCCCCCCATCCCTCCTCCTCCCATCCCTCCTCCCGCCAACACCCCTCCCCCCATCCCTCCCCATACCATCCCTCCACCTCCCATCCCTCCACCGTCCAGCCCTCCACACCCCAGCCTTCCCCCTCCCACTCCTCCTCATCCCATGGGGCCATATTTTCCTTCAATTCTGCTCTAACCCCTTGCACCCATTTCAACCCCTCAAAACCCTTCCTCAGGCTACCCACCGCTCTCTCCCTCTCCTCCCCCACCCTCGTCCTTCCTGCCACCTCATTCCTCAATCCCTCCACGCCATCCTTAAACTTCTCCACCCCATCCAGCCCATCCTCGAGCTTCCCCCCTTTTTTTAGCTTTCCCTTCTCTACCAGGTTACTCGCCTCAACCTCCCTCAGCACTTCCTGCAGCAGCAGCATCAAGCTGCGCATCTGCGAGTTCATTTCCACCGTCAGATCTTCAATCTGACAGGACAATCTACGGAGCTCTACGTTCACACTCGTTGAGACTTTTCCGCCAGATTTAGCGGAAACCATATGCCTGCCAAGGAATACGAAAATAAAGCCGAAAATGCTGAGACAGATGAAGCAACAATAGTGGCTTACTGCTGCCCAATAATGACCAAATGATGCAAAGAAGGAATAGTAACGTACCTGGTCGCTTGGCGAACGGAAGTGCATTGACTTGCCTGAAACACGGCATGAGCTGAATTTAGGCTAGAAACACCAGAGATCGTAATCTCCTGGCCAAATCTGTTGGCTTTGAATGTGTATATAATATATATATAATGAAGTGGAACTGGCTAAGGTACATTCCTAAACGCCATAAGCATTGGTCTTACAATGAAATTAAGGGTGCGATCTTTCAGCTCGAGCAAGGTGGTCCTGGTTGCCAATAGATGCTGATGCAGGCAGGAAATGATGTGTGCCTGAAACATTCCCAGCGTCCAGAGGATAAGAGCCAATCAAGGTGCTCCATGCAAGATAAATGCTGCATAAGAGGGAAGCGGTATCTGAGGAAACAAATCATCTAGCCTTACCATAAAATCACGCGCGTGTTTCTTCAGCTTGAGAAAGGCAGTCCTGGTTGCCAGTAGATGCTGATGCAGGCAGTGCACAACGTGTGACTGCGACACACCCAGCGACCAGAGGATAAGAACTACGGTGCTCCATGCGAGATACACGTGGATGAGCTGATGGGTGGTCAGGGACGGAGGGAAAGAGGGAAGAAGGACCAGAGGATAAGAACCAGGGTGCCCCATGCGATATACACGTGGATGAGCTGAAGAGGCGAGTTGCCAGGGAAGGAGGGTAGGAAAACACACACACACACGCGCGCGCGCGCACACACACGTCTTCAACCTCTGTACAATCTCAGAAGAATCACTGCACACTAACTCTGGACAGCCGACGACTTGGTTTCACACGCGTTACTGAAAGAACAGGTATTCATGTGCAACATGCACACATCCATGCATATAATCTCACACAAGGATAGGCTCTCACCACAATGTAAGTGTAGCAGACCGAAGGCTTGAGTTCGCTTAAAGCTGCAGTCAGATGCGTGAGATACGATGAAATCCTGGACAGGAAATGGGACTGTGCAGCTGCCTCCCTCTTATATGTGGCAGCTGTATCCAGCCCTAAACCTGTAGCAGTCTGCATGAAGAGTGATGGGAAAAAGAAATCTAAAAAAGGTGCATACGAATTCAGTTCAAACAGCTCAAAGAGTCAAGTTGTTGACATGGGTTGCACGCGGCAGGAAATTACATACGCGGAAACTTGATTTCATCACGCACTTTATAGTCAATGTAATCGTCCCCGTGCCAACCAGACGCGGAAGCTCCCGTGGCAGCTGCAAGCAGCACAACCGCCGTCACCAGCAGCCTCTCCAGCCTCGCCAAATTCAGGCTAGCCATCTCTCGAACGGGGCTCTCGGATGGGCTGATGTGTGAAGAGAACTTTTTGCGGCGCCCCGTAAATCAGATTCACTAAGGACGGACTGAAACTACTAGGCCTTCGTCGTTTCCCCTGCTGTGCTCCGGACTAGCGACGCCCGGTGTCGGTGTGAGTGTTTAGATGATCCAGCCGATAGGGGTGACCTCGGAGCCTACACCTCCCTTCGGAAACCAGGGATATGGGTCGCGTGCGCTGCTAAGCCGCGCAAAGCGTTGTGTGCGCGAAGAGCGCACACAACGCGTGCCAAGTCCCGAGCTGGCGCAGCGACCAGCGGAAGGGGTGAGTTCCGCGCGCAGCCATACATGGCCTCCGCGGCTTCTGCTACCCGAATTTGCGTTCTCTCCCGCTCTCCCCCATGATGATGCGACACCCCTCTGCGTCACCCCCCTCGCTGTCCTCCCTCGTGCTGCCGCGCCAACCTGCGTGCGCCTACGAGCAGGCATGCTACTACGAGGACTGGTCCGCGGAAGTAGCAGCGCGGAGCCACGGAGACTGCGCGGGGAGGGCTGCGCAAGGAGAGCTGGGCGAGGAGGGCGAAACGGCTCGCATGCATGAGGGAGTGCGCGCGGGACGGGATTCCTCGGAGGAATCGAGGGAGAGACGAGCATGTGGAGGGGTGCTGGGGCAGAGTGAAGTGCAGACTCCATGATAGCACATTTGCATTCGAGGGTAATTTCTCTAATGTGACTCGATAGAAACGAAGAGGTTCATTTTATGTGACGATACCAACCCCCCCTTGTACACCGCACCCATCCCAATAAATATCGCGTATGATTTGGGCAAGCCTCTACCTTGGCCGTCCTCCGGTCCTCCGTATCTCTGATCCTGTCACAAATTCCAGATACACGAGTCAACAGAATCAACCTCACACACCTAGAAATGCGGGTGACCGTCCGATTGCAAACGGATTCTCATGTCCCGTAGTGCCACTTTCGGTCTTATCCTAGCTTTCCACGTTATTTTGGAAGAATCTTGAGCTACTATTTTCTCGTGCGCTGCTACAGTGGCAGGAGCTAGCATTCGCTAGTAATGCGAGCCATTTGCTTGCACCGCTTCCCACTGCCTTGCTCCGCGAATACCGCTTCGCAGAAATGCACGAGATTCTTCCGTAACCCGTCTTCACTGCTGCGTCAGCTCACCCACAACCACCAAAAAGCTTTCGCGACGGACACATTGTTAGCGAGAAGCACATTCCAAGCCACAAGCACGTCCCCGCTTTACTACCCGACAACAGGAGAGGAATCCCCGATCGTGCTCCCATCGCACACACCCACAAGGGTCGCATCCTTAGAGTCGGCTAAAGGCCCATCGCACGTTCGCACAAAATTTCCAGCTCCCACGAGCTTTCGCGCCTTGTCGCGTGGTGATTTCTCATCCTCCTCTTCTTACAACTTATCCAACACATTCACCTGCGCTTTCAGCCGCTCTGAACCGTTCAATATCCATTCAAAACGCTATCATCCAACATTTCTCTTCGGGACCACGTCGCTACCTGGCAGTTCGGGATTGGCCCGTGATCCCCGTCAGGTCACGACGCGGCGCTCCAGTAAGCGGCTAGCCGGTCAAATGGAGGGCCAGCCGCAGCCGCAAGAGCTCAGATCTGACGGCGAGCCTAGGGAGGAGGGGTTCAGAAACGGAGAGGCGAATCAGACGGCAGGCGAGGTGGCAGATTCGTTACCTCAAGGCACAGAAGCAGAAGCGGGGCCGCTTTTAGAGGGGATGGAGGCGAATGGCGCTCATAATGGCAGCAGCAGCTTCGGTCAGTACCGTTTCCCATCCCAAATTCCATCTCTTTCCTCATTTCCAGCTCATGGGCTGTTGCTCTGTTGCCGTGACAGCCTTTTTCAAAATATCGCATATGGGCTGACGTGTCATCTTGGATTGACATGTCACCATCTATACGCTCCACTGTTTGACATGCACCTTCCTTGTGCTCTCGTTTTAATCGTTCTGCTGTGAGAGAGATGCGCGAGCCCTCTGTTCGGTTGTGTGAGGGAGCAGGGGACGCATGAGCCACTCGCTCTCTACCCCTGAGAGATGCATTTGCCGCTCCCTCTCTTGCGGTTATCATCATGATGCTGTATTGGAGATGCTGTCGTGAGTGGAAAAGGCGTGGTGAACCGCTCTCTTGCTGTTACATCACAGGCGGAATCATGATGCTGTCTGTGCATCATTCACGCGGAACTCTTTGGATGGAGTGTCAACATCGTTTCCTCGATTTCACCCTCCGCTGCTGCACTCCCACCTTCCCTGCTCCTACTCCCCTTCCCTACCGATCTTCCACACCCACCCTCCAGGTACCACCAGCAACTCTGCCTCCCGGGCCCATTCCTTCTACCTCCCCCAAGCCGCCTTTCAACTCCTCTTTTTTGTGTCTTCTTTTCCTCTCCCCCCTCCCCTCTTTTCCCGTTTCCCAATTCCTCCCTTTCCCCCATTCCCTCAGGCACCACCAGCGCCTCTGCCTCGTCTTCCCATCCCACCCCCCCTCTATCCCTCCTCTCCCTCCTCCTCCTCCGCCTATCCCGCGCCCTCACAACCCTCCCCACGCCCTCCGACCTGCGATTCACGCTCCTCACCATCATCGCCATCTCGCCCCTTATGTACCTCTTTGCCTCCTGGGCTGACGCATTCTACCTCCCCCAAGCCGGCTGGATACCTTTCTAACATTTCTCCCACTTCTCTTTCTTCTCTTTTTCTTTTACCCTTCTCCCTTTTCCCCATTCCTCCTTTCCCCGGATTCTTCCCTTTCCCCCCTTCCCTCAGGCACCGCCAACGGCTCGACCTCGCCTCACCACCCCAACCCCCCTTCCCCTCTCCTCTCCCTCCTCCTCCTCCTCCGCCTCTCCCGCGCCCTCACAACCATCCCCACGCCTTCCGACCTCCAATTCACGCTCCTCACCATCATCTCCATCTCGCCTCTCATGTACCTCTTTGCCTCCTGGGCTGACGCCTTCTACCTCCCCCAACCTGGCTGGAAACTTTCCTTCTAACCCTCCTCTTCTTTGTCTTCTTTTCCTTCCCCCCTTCCCCCCTTCCCCCTTTTCCCGTTTCCCACTCCCTTCCTTTCCCCCGTCCCCCAGGCACCACCAATGGCTCCACCTCCCCTCCCCACCCTACCCCGCCTATCCCCCTCTTCTCCCTCCTCCTCCTCCGCCTATCCCGCGCGCTCACAACCCTCCCCACCCTCTCCGACCTGCGATTCACTCTCCTCACCATCATCGCCATCTCGCCTCTCATGTACCTCTTTGCCTCCTGGGCTGACGCCTTCTACCTCCCCCAACCTGGCTGGAAACTTTCCTTCTAACCCTCCTCTTCTTTGTCTTCTTTTCCTTCCCCCCTTCCCCCTTTTCCCGTTTCCCACTCCCTTCCTTTCCCCCGTCCCCCAGGCACCACCAATGGCTCCACCTCCCCTCCCCACCATACCCCGCCTATCCCCCTCTTCTCCCTCCTCCTCCTCCGCCTATCCCGCGCGCTCACAACCCTCCCCACCCTCTCCGACCTGCGATTCACGCTCCTCACCATCATCGCCATCTCGCCTCTCATGTACCTCTTCGCCTCCTGGGCTGACGCCTTCTACCTCCCCCAAGCCGGATTCCCCATCCGCCTCATCCTCTTTGTCTTCGTCTTCCCCTCCTTCTGGGAGGAGCTTTTCTGGAGGGTTCTCCTCAACCCCCATCCTGCAGAACCCCCGTCTACTCTCCCATCCTGGCTCCACACTCACATCACTTCCCTCCTCTCTCGCGCCTCCTCCCTCCTCTCTCCTTTCGTCTCCTCCGTCCCGTTTCTGCGCTCCTTCCCGCTCTCTCCGGATTGGCTCGCGGATCCGAAATTGTTTTATGGAATTCTTTCAACAGCATTATACGTGTTAGCGCATCCCTTTCTAGCGTGGTTGAGCAGGCCTGGTGCTTTGCGGTTATTTTCGCACCCGGGGTTTTTGCTCTGCTGTGTCGTGCTTGGGACGGCGTGTCTTGTTGTGTATCGGAGATCTGGGTCGGCCTGGGCGGCAATCTTGGTGCACTGGGCGGCAGTGTCTGTCTGGATGTGCTTGGGAGGGAGACATCAAGCACCATTTTGAAATGTTACACGTAACACGACTGATTCGTGTCCTCTATACTGTTCCGTATCGTAAAGCCTCTATACTGGTTTGTATAATGAAAATGCTTGTAATGATTGCAGCAGAACACGCTACATGTTTCATATTACACAAAGTACTGTGCAATTGCGGTACGGTACACTAAAACAATGCTGGTAGCAAAACTCAACCTGCACATTACAGCCTGGCCTGACGATCACACCCTTCTCGAGAATAGCAGATCCATCCAATGTAAATCATACACCTTCCTTTCCAATGCTCCTCGCCTCCGCCATCTGCTTTTCCCTCTCCTTGAACCCTCCATTTTAAATTAGCTATTATCTCCTCAAATCCATCTCCGCTCCTTTGCCTTTCTCAATCCCCTCGTCGTTCCCTCGGCTCCTCCCTAGTCTTCCGCTTCTGCTCGGCCCTCTGCTCGGCCCGCCCCTCAAACCAACTCTCCGACACCTTCAACAGAGCTGCTCTCCCCTCAAGCACCTCCCCTCACTTGCCTTTCTTCCCTTTCTCACCCTCCTCTCTCTCCCTCCGCTCCTCCCGTATCTTCCTCTTCTGCTCCGCCCTCTGCTTGGCCCGCTCCTCAAACCCACTCTCTGACACCTTCAGCAGTGCTGCTCTCCTCGCCTTGAACACCTGGGGAAGGAAAGGAAGCGAGGTGAGTTAAGACCCTTTACACCGGCACCACTTTACGAGCCTTGCAAAGCTGGAGGAGAAAGAGCAACAAGTGATATTTGTTTCAAGAACAACGAAAGCAGCAAGAGAAAGGCATGCAAGCAGGCACGCACAAACTGACAGGCAAGAGGAGCAGAGAGAAATGGCATGGTGGCTGCCTCCCCTTGCTCAGGCTGTCATACCCCCTTCGCTCACCTTGCTGATGCATTTAAGCACATCGCCTTCAGTCACACTCCTTCCACTCAGCTTGATGCAATTAAAGCACATGTCCTCTAATCACGCTCCTTTCTCTCACCTTGCTGATGCATTTAAGCACATCGCCTTCAGTCACATCAGTGCACTCCGCCAGCTGTCGGCCAATTAGCTTCTCTATGCTGTGCACCAGATGCACGTCATACTGTGGGGGGAAGGGGGGGAGGTGGGGAAGGGGAGAGGGGGAAAGGCAGAGGCAACATGCATGAAGGGGCAAGGGACACAAGAGAGGCCAATGAGGTTCCATGCTGTGCCTCAGACGCACGTCGTATTGCTATGGGAAGGGAGGGGGAGAGTAGCAGGGAGGGAGGTAGCATGCATGAAGGGACATGGGACACAAGAGAGGTTTACTAATGAGCTTCTCAATGCTGTGCACCAGATGCACGTCGTACTGCCATGGGAAAGAGGGGGAAGAGAGGGAGGTGGGGAAGGGGGAAGGGAGCAGGCAGCATGCATGCAGTGCTAAAAAGCAGGCCGGATTCTAACGCGGGTTCTAACGCCCCCCTGCATCTCTTGCGGTTGCTGTCGTCCCAACTACCGCTTGAACCTCACATGGCGCTCACAGCACCACACTGAACAAAGTCACTGCTCCCACACAGACAATACTCACAGCACCCTCATCATTCGTTACAGTCACTCTCACCTGTGTCACCAGGCTGATGGCTCGCCCGCCCCTCCCTGCTCGGGCTGTTCGCCCCACCCGATGCACATAGTCCCGGGTGAACCTGAGGGGTTGCATGTGCGGGTGGGACACGGTAGGGAGAATGAGTGGATAGAAGAGCCAAGCAAAAGGGCGAAAGAACAACAACGCACTCGCCTCTCGCCCACCCCTCCCTACTCTGGCCGTTCGCCACCCCTTGTGCACATAGTCCCATGTGAACCTGAGGGGTTGCATGTGTGGGTGGGACACGGTAGGGAGAATGAGTGGATAGAAGAGCCAAGCAAAAGGGCGAAAGAACAACAACGCACTCGCCTCTCGCCCACCCCTCCCTACTCTCGCCGTTCGCCACCCCTTGTGCACATAGTCCCGCGTGAACCTGTCAGGGGTTGGGATAGTTGGGACAGGGTAGGGGTGAGAGGGGTAAGGAGTTTCTTCAAGCATCTCACACATCCCCTCCCTGCTCTGGCCGTTCGCCCCACCCTGTGCACATAGTCCCGTGTGAACCTGAGGGGGTGGGCAGATACGATAGGGTGGGGGGTGCAGAGTGTTTTCAGGGACCCTAAAAAGGCACTCCCTGCTCTGGCTGTTCGCCCCACCCTGTGTACATAGTCCCTTGTGAACCTGGGTTGGTGTGGGGATAGGTGGGACAGGGTAGGGGTGAGAGGGGTAAGGTCTTTCTTCAAGTGCCTCACACATCCCCTCCCTGCTCTGGCTGTTCGCCCCACCCGGTGCACATTGTCCCGTGTGAACCTGAAGGGTGGGGTGGGGGGTGGGGTGACAGGGTAGGGTGAGAGGGGTAAGGTCTTTCTTCAAGCATCTCACACATCCCCTCCCTGCTCTGGCCGTTCGTCCCACCCTGTGCACATAGTCCCGTGTGAACCTGGGGGGCGTAGGTGTGGAGAGGGTAGGGTGAGAGGTGAGGAGTTTCACTTGGGTTTAAGGTGCGCCTCACACATCCCCTCCCTGCTCGGGCCGTTCGCCCGACCTTGTGCACATAGCCCCGTGTGAACCTGGGCGTGGGGTGGGTGAGGTGAGGGAGGTGGGACAGGGTAGGGGATGGGCGAGTAGGAGCGGAGATTGAAAGACCAAGGCCCTGTCTTTGCCCCCCCTTCCCTGTCTTCAACTGTCTCACATATCCCCTCCCTGCTCTGGCCGTTAGCCCCACCCACACTGTAAACATAGTCCCGGGCAAACCTGAGGGGTGCGGCTGGGTGGGGTGGTGGTGGTAAGAAGTTTGTTTAAGCGCCTTGCACATGTGAAGCGAGTTCGTGTTCATGTGCTGTGGGATGTAGAGAGGTGGAAAGGGGTGACAATGGAGGATGCCCAGGTCGACCATTCCATGGGAATGAGCGGACTCACCTGGGGGTGTCGTTATTCACCAGGTCGACTCGACTGTGGAAGAGTTTTGAGACGCATAAAAATGAATGAGTTCTGAGGCGCCTCAATAGTCGCCTCGCCTGAGGATGTCGTAGTTGATCAACAACAGGTCCAGTGTGGGTGGAGATGTCGAGCCCTTTGCTGGCAACCTCAGTGGCCACCAAAACGAACAAGCTGTTCAGCCTTCAGACATACACAGCAGTGCAGTGCCCATTGCTCACCTGGTGATGTCGTAGTTGATCACCAAATCCACAGTCGGAATATCCAGCCCTCTGCTGGCGACATCAGTGGCCCAAGATGGGCACTCTCGACGCCTTGAATCACACTGATGTGGGTACGCACAGGATGCCCGAAGCTCACCTGGGGATGTCGTAGTTAATCACCAAATCCACAGTCGGAATGTCAAGCCCTCTGCTGGCGACGTCTGTGGCCACCAGGATGGGCACTTGGGACGCCTTGAAGCGGTGCAAGGCGGCCGAGCGCTTGCGCTGGGGCAGCAGCGCGTGGAGAGGCGCGTTGGAGAGACCCACTTCGTCCAGCAGTGCGCTGACGGCCTGACAGGATCTGAACCAGGGAGGAGGGGGAACAGGAAGAAAAGAGGGAGAGGCAGAGTGTTGAGACGCCTTGAAGCGGTGCAGAGCGGCTGAGCGCTTGCACTGGGGGAGCAGGGCGTGGAGAGGCGCGTTGGAGAGACCCACTTCGTCCAGCAGTGCGCTCACTGCCTGGCAGGACCTGGCACATGGGGATTGGGTGAGAGGAGGAGAAAAGAGGACGAAGCAGAGCGTTGAGGGGCCTTGAAGCGCTGCAGGTATGCCAAGACATGCACTGGGGGAGGAGGGCAGTGCACTGACGGCCTGGCAGGATCTGGGAAGGCGAGAATGGAGAGAGCGAGGCGGGGAAGAGGGGGACAGGAAACCCGAGGCATGAACCGATGGGCATGAACCGATGGAAGAGACTTTGGGCTCAGATCTTTCCGAAATAAAAAAACCACGGAAATGCCGGAAGGCTGATTGGCAGGAGGAGAGAAACAAACGGAGACTAGAGACGTCCAAAACTCCAAAACATAGGCAGGAGTAGGAGACATTGGGCCTAGGCAGTGGCGAGTGGGACAAGGGCCACCACGATCACAGCACACATTGTGGGCGTGCAGCAGCAGAGGCGGGGAAGGGGAAGCACCCTTTCAAAACACCTGCTACCGCATCACAATTCCCAGTTTGAGTTTGCTTACTGGCACGACGAGATGAACACGATAACCGACCGCACGGGCGGACGGGCAGCAGCAGATGAGGAGGGGGGCGGTGCGGGGGGGAGGGGAAGGAGTGAGGCACCACATCCGAACATATGTTTCTGCATCATAATGTAAAGAGCGTTTTCACTTACTGGCAGGACGACGTGAACACGATCACGGAGCGCACGGGTGGGCGGGCGGCAGCAGAGGCGGAGGGGGGCGGCGCGGGGGGGAGGATGGTTTGGAGGGAGGGGAGGAGGCGGGAGAGGAGGCGGCAGAGGTACACGTCTCGCACGTTGGAGGGGAGGAAGAGGTACGTCTGATCTAATGCTTCCACTGTCTTAAAGCCCTCGTACGCCTCAAAGTGAAACAGCTTCTTGGTCTTGCTCATCGCCTGTGTGTGTATGAATGGGGTACAGTGCACAGAAAATGGGGCAAATAGCATAGGGTATGGGGCATGGGGTGGGATGATGGGTTAACAGGAGGCGGCAGAGGTACACATCTCCAACGTTGGAGGGCAGGAAGAGGTACGTCTGGTCCAGTGCCTCGACTGTCTTAAAGCCTCGTAGGCCTTGCTCTTGCTCTTGTAGCCTGCCGGTAGCCTCAAAGTGAAACAGCTTCTTGGTCTTGCTCATAGCCTGCCGGTATGGGAAAGAGGGAAGATAGGAAACAAGGCAGGGGATGGGTCAACAGCATGCAGGGGGGGAGGAGGTGGGAGAGGTAGACGTCTTGCACGGAGCACTTAGAGCCTCCATATAACCCATGCAACGGAGCACTTAGAGCCTCCTGATAACCCATGCAACGGAGCACTTAGAGCCTCCTGATAACCCATGCAACGGAAGGCGCAATGCAATGAGCACATGCAACGCCCACCGTCGTCCTTGGCTTGTCACACACCTTCAAGGCGTGCAGGTTGGCGGTGAAAGTGGCAGAGAAGAGCAGCGAGTGCCTCTCCCTGGTGAAGACGAAGTGCAAGGCGCACATGCAATACCCATGCAACACCCACCCATGCAACACCCACCCATGCAACACCCACCCATGCAACACCCACCCATGCAACACCCACCCATGCAACACCCACCCATGCAACACCCACCCATGCAACACCCACCCATGCAACACCCACCCATGCAACACCCACCCATGCAATACCCATGCTACCACCACACACCTTCAAGGCGTGCAGGTTGGCGGTGAAAGTGGCGGAGAAGAGCAGCGTCTGCCTCTCTTTCGGCATCCTTCCCAGAATCGCCCCTATCTCCTCCTCAAAGCCGCGGTCGAGCAGGCGATCGGCCTCGTCCAGGACAAGGAACTGCGAGGAGGAGAGAGAGCAGGAGCGGGAATGAGATACGGATGGGCAGGGCGGCAGGGAGCAGGGGGGGAGGGGAACGTAGCCGCTATCTCCTCCTCAAAGCCGCGGTCGAGCAGGCGAAAGCAGCAGTCCTGCCGCTTCCCGTCTGGCCCAAGCCAATCACGTTGCTACCCGTGATGACAGGGGGGATGCACTCACACTGCACTGGGACTCAGGGTTTGAAGCTTACGGTTCGGGTTTTAGACTGAAGTACTCACTTGAAGAATTGGCAGGGCGAAGGCAGCCATTTCCCCACTGGCGGTCTGAGCCACACCAATCACGTTGCTGCCAGCGATGACAGGGGGGATGCATGCACACTGCACTGGGCCTTCGGGTTCGGGGCCTAGGGTTTAAGGTTGAGGAGCCCACCTGGAGAATCGGCGAAGGCGGCAGTCTTGCCGAATCCTGTCTGAGCCACCCCGATCACGTTGCTACCCGCAACGACAGGGGGGATGCACGCACACTGCAGTGAGGCTCAGGGTTTAAGGCCTGGGGTTTCAGAGTGAAGAACATTACCTGGAGAATGGGCAGGGCGAAAGCAGCAGTCTTGCCACTTCCCGTTTGCGCCACCCCAATGACGTTGCTCCCCGCAACGACGGGGGGGATGCACGCACACTGCACTGGGGTGGGATGGCGCAGACCCATCTCATGACACGTGGCGACCAGCCACGGCGCCAGTGCCAGGTCAGCAAAGGAGTCACACGTGGCAGTGGCAGAAAGGGACACGTCAGCTTTGGCGAGCAGTGCAGTTGCTTCTGCATCGTCCTCCTCTGTTCCTCCGTCCTCTGCTTTCTCCTCCCTCCCCTCTTCCTCCTCCGCGTTCCCTTCACCACTAACATCCATCTCCCCTTCCTCTTCCACCTCCCCCTCTTCCTCTCCTCCTCCCTCCTCTCCATCCTCTTCACCCTCCTCCCCTTCCTCTTCACCCTCCTCCCCATCCACCTCTCCATCAACCCCCGTATTCCCCCTCTTTCCCTCGCCCACCCGCTTCCGCCGTCCCCCGCGCCCCCTCTCGCCTATTGGCTCCCTCGCCTGCATGCCATCTCTGCTGACGCCACCTCCATCCTCACCGCCCCTAACGTCACCATGTGTACGGCCACTCTCGTCCACGTCAGCACCGCAAACACCCTTCCGCGCAAAACCCCGCCTTCTCTGAAACCATCCTCCTCTCCACCTCCCCTCTCCCCCTTAAACCCTACACCTTGAAGGGAGAGTGGAGGGCAGGCGGACGGGTGCAGGAGGGAAGGAAGGGTGTTTTTGAGTATGGGCAGGACGAAAGCAGCAGTCTTGCGGCAAAATGTTTTGATTAATTTTCCAATATAAGAAACAAACAATAGATACATGAAATAGTGGAGGAAAACCCCCTAAGGCCCCCCTAAGGCCCCCCTACCCCCCAACTCCCCTCACAGCCCCTCCCAACCCCTCAAATCGCCCCTCACAGCCCCTCCCAACCCCCCTCACAGCCCATGGAATCACACCAAATCGCTGGGATGCCCGGAAAACAACATGTATTCGGTGTTCGGTGTTCTGTATTCTGTATTCTGTGTTCTGTATTCTGTGTTCTGTTTTCTTTTTTGTTTCTGCTTCAATTTCATCTTTCCTGTTCTGTTTTTGTGAGTTTCTGTTCTGTTCCTGTTTCTGTGTTCTCTGATTTCTGTTTCCTGTTTCCTGTTGCTGTTTCTGCTTTCTCTGTTGCTGTGCTCAGGGCTGGCCCAATCCAACCCCCCCCCCCCCCCCCCCCCCCCCCCCGACCTAGGCCGAACCGACCCGACCTCCCCAAGCCTGGCCAGGACGGACCTGGCCAGACTATCTCATATGGGATGTTACATACAAGCATACATATCAAAACACCCTAATGATTTCTATTATTCTATCTTTTTCATCGCATCAGAATATCTTCGTGGCTGGCACCAGAGACAATAGCACCTGCGCAAAGAAAGAGAGGGAGGAGCACTGGAGGAGAAGAGGAGAGAGGCCTGAGTGCATCGGAAAAGGATTGGAGAATGGGTGTGTATCGCCAGGAAAGAGCGGAAAGGGGGAGCAGAGCAGAGATGAAAGTGGAAAGCAATTTGAGTAGCACGAGCAGTGCAGGCGATCCTGGCACATGATCGGAAGCGTCAAAAGGCTCACCTGCGTGCGGAACAGGACAAGTGATATCGGTGTAGGTAGCAGCCGGGTGTCCGCGAGTATGCATCATCGCATCGCATCGCATCGCATCGCATCGCATCGCATTGCAGCACTTTTCGAGTCGAGGGTGTCGTCAGCTTCGCCGTCGACGAGAGCCACGTGGTTACCAGCCTCCTGAACAAACCAACCACGTATACACACAAAACGAAACAGCATGAGTCAATATAGTACCATACACAACCGCTGAAGCTACAGTGTAGCTTCAAGAGATGCACGCTGAGAGCTTGAAGCTGTCGCAGCGAGACAGCGAATCGTCACGCACCAAGAAACCAACGCACGGTGATTCGAAACCAACGCACCTGGAAAACCTCGTTTCAGGCGCGCCTGTCGCGCTGCTGCTCGCGCACCGCCACCCGTGTTTGGGTTGCACGCCCTCCGCCTGCCGCGCTGATGCTGGTGGGGAGGTAGGTGCTGTGCGGGATAGGGTGAGTGCTGGAAGCTAGGAGAACTGAATTATAGGGTGATGGCATGGGTACAGAGAGGTATAGGCGCAAAGGCGAGAAACAGTTGTGAGGTAGCGCACAGGGAGGTATAAGCGCAAGGCAATACCTGATTTGATCCGTCGGTGCAAGGATTACGGGGTTTCTGATAGCCGGGGTCCCTTGAGCCGCGGTACAGTTTTATGTGAAAGTTGAACAGCTCGTTTTGTGCTCAAGTTGAGTACGTCGCAGCGCGGTAGCAATGACGAGGCCGTAATTGCAGTAGTTAGGCTTCTAATCCGTCAAGGTGAATATCAGAGTCCCATATCGTCACTCTGCAGCTAAGGGGCGGGGGAAAGGAACGGATGTGGCTTCGACAAGGCAAGAAAGCAGGACGGGAGAGTAGCAGAAAAGACTTCACATAAGTCAATGAAGCAGTGCGAGATGGGAAATCTATATGAAACGTACGATTTCCGTTAAACCAGGTCAGAAACGTCGCTTTTGACGTTGCTCGGCGATCAGAGAGACAAGTAGTTAGTGCGGCACGCGTGGTACGAAAAACGAGAGAAGATGCAATCAGTGAGTCAGTTAGGGATAATCTGAAAAGTGAGTGGAAATTCCTTGTGCAGGAAAGGGCAGCGCGCACCTGCGGAATAAAGCACCGCAGATCGTAGCGTTAACTACAGGCGTTACGCGTGATATTCGCGCACGGTTGGCAATTTCGTTCCCGTTTTGCTCCGTGCGAGCGTGGAAAGGGCTACGAGAGAGCAGACGCGAATGATACTCCATCCAGTTGATCCTTTCGGTCCTAGCAACGTCGACCGAACTAGGAACAACCGTCCGACGGTAGTGGTGGCGGATTTGATACGAGAGAGCAGTGAGGAGGCACCGCGGCGGTGAGGACGCGGGAAAACGGAAAAGCAACTTGTTGAACTATGCGCGACGGAACGAGTGACCAGCGTGCGACGCAACAGACGATTCGCATGTGACACTAGCCGTCGCCGCAACTGATTCCTAGCACGCGTCTCGACCGAAGGCTTGGCTAGTAGTAGGAAAGGGCTGGGATGCGGTGAGGACGCGGGAAAACAGAAAGCAACAAGTATGCGCGACGGAACAAGTGACT